TATTTTAACTTGAACCTTCATTACATAACGAATTTAGAATTGCCCATCATTAACATGTATTATTATTTTCACACAGATTAAACCTTGTTTCAGTAACAATTGAATCATGTAGTCTTACATTCGAATTAAGAATAATTAATTTTCTCGATAATGAGATTCAGCTTGCTGCTATAGTAAAATTACAGCAAATTTGAGCATTAGTATAGTTCAACATACTCTAAAATTTCATAACGTTGAGAGGATAGTATATCTCTACTTTAGAATTGCGAATGTAAGAAAAGTAATAAACATTTTATGCATTCAAAAGTATTTCTTAACGTACCTTCTGAGACTTACTGTCCCCAAAAGATTTTAATGAATTAGATGGACAATTTAATGAGAACCAGAAAATGGAAAGAAAAAAAAAACTAATTGCATGATTAAACCAAAAAACTAAACTGAACATACTGAAAAAAAAACACTGTTCTGTGAGAGTTTTTTTCTTTTTTTTTACTGAAAAACACTTAAAATAAACCAATGAAATGTAAATTCAATCATGACTTTATTCGAATTCCACAATTTCAATTTTGCAAACTGATGAAAATTAGAGGGATGGCCGTTCACTCTTAACCTGCAAATAAAAGAGCAATAATGATTTTCCTTCATAGTAATTTCACTGTTACCTAACTATCCAATAATGGTTTCCCTTTTCTTGTATAATTATTTAAATTAAATGCATTTAAATAATTACTACAATCGCCAGTATGTAATACTGATTCGATCTAATTATTTATTAAATCAACTCTTAACTGAGGTAGATTTCACATGATTCGATAAAATTATATATTATTAGAGTACATAGGAAGACTACTAATTGCTTTAATAAAATTCCCTACGTTCTAATGTTCATATTAAAATATTTTAAAGCAAATTCTCAGCAATTGATAACTCCATGTAATTCTTCTCTTTAAATTAATATTATTAAAAAAGAACTTGTTAAATTTCTATAAAAAAGGTCATACTTTTAGATTAATTCTGCTTTAGCTTTTAGGTAAGTTAGATTTTACTTGATAATTTAACACTTGGTTACAATTGTTTCGAGGGCGGGATAGCTTCGATGATAGGGCGTTGGCCCCATGTCTTAGAGGTCATGCGTTCGATCCTAGACGGCCAAAGACTCCCAGTGTAGTCAATGTTGATTGGTGCGCGTTGAATCTGTCGGGAAACAAAGTCTTCCAAGTTCTCATAACAAATTATTACATTTGGGGGGAGGGGGGTACTGAATTGGAGGTTTATCGTTTCGATCGCAAATTTCGACGAAAAACAGACGGGCAATGTAATTTTCATGAAATATCTGTAGCTTTCTTAGCAAATTTAATTGAAGATTTGAATTCCCCTTACTCGAATCAGTCAATATCAAATATTTGCACAAATGCAGTAAAAAATTTGTGCTTCAGTGCAATTTACCAATTTATATGAAAACAAGAAAAGCGTAATGTTTTCCTTAAAATTTTTCATGTTCTAATGGCTCACGAAATGAAACTGCAATTTATACGCTCAATATAAAAACGCGTTAAAACGAATTCTTATAATTTGATTACTCGTTAATCAGTTGCTTTAAATTAGTTTCCTTAAAAAATTCTACTAAAAAAAAACTATTAAATAACAGCAAAATTTTTTGTTTATATAAATATGTTTCCAAGCTTTTAAATTAGGTATATTATATATGAATCAATAATAAATAAATTTATTAAAATATGGGTGAAACCTAATGATTGTCTTTAAAAAAAGATTTCTATGGAAAGCAGAAAATAGTTTTTAAACGCTCAATATAAAAACGTGTTAAAACAAACTCTCATCACTTGATTACTCTATGCAATTAGATTTTTTAAGCAATGCCACTAAAAAGAACATGTTAAATAAGTGCAAAAAAAATTTTTTTTTGCTTCTTTGCTGAAAAATATTACTTTTATTTCGTGTATTATTCATTCCCTGAGCTCATGTTTTTACACTATTTTCATTTTTTTTAATCCTATCATTTTTCTTTTATCCATTTTTTCTATTTTTTATTTTAAACAAATTTACTTTTCTGGCCTCTGTATCCATAATGAGAGCCTAAGGATAAATTCATTAGGAGTCTTACATATACATTTTGTATTTTTTTTTCTCATCTGTATTCTCCAAAAGGGCCATCATCACATAAAATTCTTAAAGTATTTACGTGAAATTTAACACATCGTGACAAGTAATGGAAATGAGGGTTTCAAAATGGTAAATGAAACATCACCCTTGGGAAAATGTACATTTTTTCTCCGGGTTCGTGACGCAGTTTTTAATGATATCATTTTCTTTCAGTTTTGGAAAACAGAAAAGTATAATTGAGCCGCTTTAATCATATTATTTATTTCATACTCTCGGTTGATCATACTTTCAAGAGTAAAACATTGTGTGGAAGATTTATAAGATCAAATCTTTGTTTCTTTTCCTTAGCGGAATCATAATTCTGCAAATAAATTAAATCATCGCTCAATTGTCAGTCTTATCATCAGGATTACGTTAGAATTTCTTTTGAGATTTTTTTTAAAATAAATTAAACTGATAATGATTTTATGTGTTTTATTTTTTACTGAAAACTTATTTTATAAGTACCTATTAATCGTGCACAATTTTCGGAAAAGTATAACTGAGCTGCTTTATTCAGATTAATTATTTCATATCCTCGGTTGATCGTACTTTCAAGAGTAAAACATTGTGTGGAAGATTTATAAGATCAAATCCTTGTTTCTTTTCCTTAGCGGAATCATAATTCTGCAAATAAATTTAATCATCGCTCAATTGTCAGTCTTATCATCAGGATTACGTTAGAATTTGTTTTGAGATTTTTTTTAGAATAATTTAAACTGATAAAGATTTTATGGGATTTTTTATTTTTTTCTGAAAACTTATCTTGTAAGTACCTATTAATCGTGCACAATTTTCGGAAAAGTATAACTGAGCTGCTTTAATCAGATTACTTATTTCATGCCCACGGTTGATCTTACTTTCAAGAACTAAACATTGTGTAAAGATTTAAAAGATCAAATCTTTGTTTTTTTCTTAACAAAATTATAATTCTGCAAACAAATTAAAGATTACTTAATTGCTATTCTTATCTAATCTGTTTTGAGATTTTTTTTAAATGATTTAAACTGATAGATACCTAATGAGCTTTATTTCTTACTAAAAGCTCATTCATTTCACCAGTACCTATTAATCGCTTACAATTTTCAGAAAAGTATAACTCGGCAACTTTAATCAAATTATCTATTTCACGTTTTCAGTTTATCACACTGTAAAAAACACCCAATCGAATTACCACAAACTGATTTTACGGTAAAAGAACATGCATTGTTTACCATAAAATCCATTTTATTGGAACATGTCACGGACCAAAAAACCTGACATATCGTAAATCTTACCATACTTACCGAAAAATCACAGAATATCTCAAATTAAATTAATATTGCTAAATTAATATAATACTAACTGGAATGGTTACTGTAAAATCACTGAATCATTATAATTAAATAAATATTACGGTAAAAATTTTATTATAATATTTTAAGCCAAAATCGATTTTACGGATGATGCAACGAATTGCCGGTACCTTATACTATAATTTGATCTAGCATTTCTTGCAGGTTATGCATTTAAGAACAACTCACTGGATGAAGAGTTACATAATCTCACTATTAACTTTTTGTTACTAAAAAAATCGTGTTTCTGTAAAGAAAATTAGCTGATGTCTTAAAATTGTTATCATAAGGATAACAATTAATTTTCTTTAGATATTTTTAAGATTGCCTAAGGAAGATAATAGTTTCATTCGTTTTATTTTTCACTGAAGTGGCATGGATTGTATAAGTACTTTAGTAATCGTGTTCAATTTTCAGTTTATATTACGAACAGTTTATATTACTATATCAGTTTATATTACTTTAATATTACGAATATAAGTATTTTTGGCAAATTTCATTAATTTTATTTTAAAATCATTTCAGTAAATCTTTGATTGTGACGTTTAAATTAATTGTAGTTTTTAAACTGAAGCTAGATCAGTATGATCTAAGAACTGAAAGCGACCTTCAACGTGGGTTAGAATAAAAGCCTGTAGTGGAATTAATTAATGATACCTGTAGACATTATTTTATCAAATGTATTGATTTTTAATTTGGACCAAAAATCGTATGGCATCACTGCAATCTTCAGAAATACAAGAATTATAGCTTTTATTAATTAAATTGTAAATGTAATTGTTTAAATTAAGATGAAATATGCAATTTTAAGTAATAAATCAATTATTTGGTCATAAAGGTGCATTTTGCCATTATTGTTCTTTCTCAACACCTTTATTAAATTTTTTATTGTTTATTAATTCTGTTATTTTATCTCATAGGTAACACAGAAATTTATTTAAAATAAATATATATATAATAAACAAAAGAACAAAGAAAACAAGTTTATAGATACAAATTATCTCTCCTTTTTTACATTTTTTTCCTCTTAAAATTAAAATGTAGTTTTTATAATAAAGATTTTGCTTTTAGATCAAAATTAGTTTTAAAAAAACATATTAATCAAGAAATAATAAAAAAATACACATTTGTTGCTCGTAATTATCTTACAGGATGTGGATGACTGTATACTTTTACTACCCCATTCATTATATATTCAGATATTTATTTTTCTTAAATGTATTATGCATTAAATAAAAGTTACTTTTTAGTTACTTTAAAATAAGAGTTAAGTAGTAATATAAGTTACTTTTTGAACAAAATATTAAATGTAGATTTTCTTTTAAAAGAATATGCGACAAGAATTGAAATAAGGTTCGATTGATGTCCGGAATGATCTTTGAGAATAAATGCAGTACTTTTTTACTCATATGCTATTGTTTTTCATATATTTATTAAACTTCAATTGTATTTCAAATGTTTCTTTGAATCGAAAAAGCAAACTTAGATTTTATATTAAAAGCATTTGAGAAAAATGAATAAATAAATAAAATAAACAAAAACAAGATTGATTCTCAGAATTATCTTTGAGAATACGGACGGGTCTTCCACCGGTAGCAGGATGCAGCGGATGAATTTCATCAGGGACTTATTCTGTTGATAGACGTGCTACGGGATGACAGTAAAGAAAACAACATCAATTCTTGGAACCGCTGTCATTGCATTGTAGCTCTGCTTCTTCGCCCACTTAGAGGCAGAAGAACCACGTATACCACGTGACTCACTCACCACTTACTCCAATTATATCTAATAATTCATGAGTACCAAGTTTTGACGTCTTTTTCAGAAGGGTCCCCGTCATTCATAGTCTTTATTTGCGAGACTTTCGCAATGCGGCAGTAAAATCTTATTGTTCAATTTACTGGAAGTCTTTTATTTTGCGCTTCCCAGACAGTTTCGAGTCTCTTTTCCTTCTATTGTGGCTGGCTGTCAACATGACAGCATCGCGTTTCGCCACATCGATTCTGACGTATTTTCTAATAGTTTGTGCAGCCGCTGCCAGGAATAATACAACATCTTTTCGGAGGATCAGTAGAGGTAAGCAACAACCACATTGATTTTTCAGCCTTGTTTGTTTACGCAAATGTTTGACAGGCGTTTCAGAGAAAAGGGCTTTTTTTAAAAATTAGTTGTGGGACAGAATTGTATTACGCGTAGAATTGTTTTGACATGCTGTTTCGAAGAACTTTTTCGTATATTTTATTCTGGAAATATCTACTTATTTAAATTCTCTGATGAAATTCCAATTTTGTCGTCCTTGGTAAACTTTAAAAAAATTATTACTACTCACTATTAATGTGACAATTTAAAATGTAGATAAGCATTGAAACCTTTTAAAAGTAATTTAAAAAAAAAATTATTAAAAAAAACTGATAAAAAGATAAGTCTTCCAAAAAGAGGTGTATAACTATGTTTTTCTTTTCGGAATAACTTACGTCGAATGCTCATTTTAAACTAATAATTTGAATATTAAAAAAAAAATAATTTGTAGGATCAAAAAGTATTGTTTAATAATTAGTGATTTGTAGCAATCCAAATTGAAGCATAAATTTTTATGAAAAATGATTTTTAATCACATTTGAGTAATTGTTCTTAAACGTTGTAAGTTCGTTGCGAAATATATATGAAAATTCCAAATGAGTTTCCACGCGAGGCGTGCTCGACCCCAGTGGCCTAGAGGATTTTCTTTTTTTTCTCTCTCTCGGCTACTAGTTTTGTCTTTGATCTATATTTTTCCATTTTTTGTTAGCACCCTTTTTTATCTTTCAAAACACTTTTGTACTCATTCACGTCTGGCAAATCTTGAAAACGGGTGATTGATTTTAAGAGCTCGAAACGCGTCGACTGTTATTTCCAATTTGTGAATTTTTGAAGCAAATGAATTTTTTTTTATCAAGTGCTATATTACCATTTTAGTTTCTGGAGATTGTTTACTTAATTTGCACTTTAAATTTACATTTTAAACCACTTAAATTGTCTTCTGTTACATTGTAATACAGAGGGAAAAGCTGACAGTAGAGTTGATTGTTAAATGTTCTTGCTTCGCAAATTACTAAATTTTAGTCATACAAATATTGATACTTCCTCATAAGTGCATCCAATCCCAACAAAACTACTACTACCTATAACTTTATTTGTTCATTTTAATAAACTTAATATTTAAATAAATACTACCTTTAGTTTACTTAGTTTACAATACAGTCAAATTTACATTTTAAACCACTGAAATTGCCTTTTGTTATATTGTAATACAGAGGGAAAAGCTGACAGTAGAGATAAATGTTAAATGTCCTTGATTCGCAAATTACGAAATTTTAGTCATACAAACATTGATACTTCCCCATAAGTGCATCCTATCCTAACAATACTACTACTACCTATAACTCTTAATGTTTCTTTTAATGGACTTAATATTTTAACAAATACTACCTTTAGTTTACTTAGTTTACAATATAGTCAAATTTACTATTTAAACCACTAAAATTGCCTTTTGTTATATTGTAATATAGAGGAAAAAGTTGACAGTAGAGTTAAATGTTCTTGCTTCGCAAATTACTAAATTTTAGTCATACAAATATTGATAATTCCCCTTAAATTCATCCTATCCTATCAATACTACTACTACCTATAATTTTATATGTTTCTTTTAAAGAAATTAATATTTAAATAAACACTACCTTTAAACTCAATAAAAAAAGTTACTAGGAACATGGTAATATTGTAGAAGAAATACAGAGGGGAAAAAAGCAACTGCAAGTCAATTTACTTAAACAGGTCTGATTGTAAAGAAGAAATGTTTATTTAAAGCCGAAAAACGTAATTTGGTTTTACCATCGTAAAATAAACTGAATCATAAAAGAGTAAATTTAAAATAACTATGCATTAAAAAGCAACCAAAGTGATTGAAGCATTCGTACCTTGTCAAAACTTTATTTTCTTCTTAGAATACAGCTTAGATAATGAAAATTTTTATTACTGAATCGTATCAAAAAGTAGATCATTCAGGGAACCACGGAACCCATTTTCGCCAACTCAACAGAAATAATTTAATACAATAATCATGGTAACAGAAAGGAAAAATTTCTGGGACAACATTAGAATGTTCGATCCTCTTTTCAATGAGTAGATGGTTTATTGCTGTAAAATTAGAGGAAAAAGCCATAACAATTAAGCTTTATCTGGTGTATTAAACAGACATTATGCAGGTTATATTTTTAAAGCGATAGTTTCTCTTGATCTGCATTAACTGAAAACATATATTAAATTAATTTGAATAAATCAAAATGCTACTTGTAATTTTATTCCAGTAATTAAAATGTCTTTAAGTCAAAGGAATTCACAAGTGCTAGCGTTTGAAAATAACCCATATACTGGTTGAAAGCTGCCAACTTAAGAAAAATAAATAAATGTTATCAATTCATTATTAATTATTTATAAGAAAACTTTTTCTTCTTTAAAATGCCTTCTTTAAAATTGCGAAAATATTACCTATTTATGCAAAATAAATAAATTTTTAATGAGTTAAAGTTTTCATGAATTATTTCTAAGAGAACATTATTGTTTTTAAAACTATTCACGAAAAAAAAAGTAAATATTACATTTGAAACTACTTTTAAGATTTAGTAATTTAATTTACTTTCCTTGGCTAATTTATAAAACCATTTTTCGCTTTTCAAAAATTTCCAGAGCAATTAATTAGATTTACTCATGCATTAAGCATGCTGGGAAATATTTTATTTTTTTGTAAGAACTTTATTTGTGATCGTCGAGAAAAAGGAATTTCCTTTCCTGTTTAACTACTGTAATAACAAACCTTGTAAGTTAAAACGTCTTTAAAAATATTAAACACAAAGAAAGACACATCCTATTGTAATCATGCTTTCGCAAAGCGAAAAAATAACAATCCGAAAATATGCTAGTTAAGTATGATAAAAATAACTCAAAACAAAATGAACACCTAAGAATAGCGCGGCGACTTTTAGTTGCGCAACTAACATATTACCCGATTCGTTCAAACCTACCCGCTCTTTTTTTTTTTTTAGCTATATACTTACTTTTCGTGCTTAGCTGCCCCCTTACGAACGAAGCTGCTAGTCTTTTTATTATTTTTCCCACATAGCTTCCGAATAAATGCTTAAGATTGATTATTTGCACGAGAGTATGTGCAGCTGGAAATTCGCTTTCATGCGTCGGGGAAAAGAGAGTGTAGGTATGGGAGGAACATAATGAAAAATTTACATTTTTCGCTTTTTTTTCTTTTTTCGTAACCCAGAACATGACGTGCCAGCGTCAGTTTGAACTTTCCTTTTCTTTATTATTGTTGCCGTTTTTGTTTGTTATTCTTCACTCTCTCTCTTAAAAAGTGTTCATAAATCATCCCCGAAGATTATGTCGGCCTAACAAACAATGCGTTTTTACCAGATGATGGGGCGAGAGTGAAACTATATAATTCCTCGATGTTTATGCTGTTGTTTGAGCTTTGAGCATTCTTAAAATCGGGAATTGAAAGGAAAGTTATTAAATTGTAAGAGTATGTTTTATCTATTGAATGGACAGGAGTTCGGTTTTTTTCTTAATAAAAACAAAAGAAAAAATAATTAAGACACTTCAGTTACAATATATCTGTCTATTGTTCTATTTTGTATGCTCTGAATAAACATCTGAATTTTTTTCTTCTCAAACCTATTGCGAAAGTGGTTTTTGTCTTTTTTTTTTATCTTATTCAAAGGTTTTGTTTGTACAAATACCATTTTCTAACGTAATGATATTTAGTGATTTTAATTCCAGTTGTGTGATCAAATAGATTTAAAACATAATATCTAACTCATTTTTTAATACACTATTAAAAATTTCTCGGAAAAAATTGTTAAATAATTTTTTTTTATTGTTTTTATTTACTATATTCAAACAAAGTAGTTAAATAACTCTAAATGAGATAGTATTCAACCTGTTAATTATGAGAAAAATCAACTGTTAATTATGTGTGTGTTGATTAGCTGCATTCTCCTAACACGGTTAAGCAACCTGAGTTTTATCTCACCAACCATCTAGGCCCATTTGAAGAAGCGTCTTAGTTCCTTGCAGCTCGGTACATATTACAGCCAATTGGGCTAATCTGCGATCTCATGACCCAAAGAACATGAATTCGAGTCCCAGCGTTGACGTCACAATATTTCCGCTTGATAAACCACAACCTAATTTCAATGTCCATTATGTAACGTAAAGCCTAACTCCAATGTCAAGTTAAATTACATTTTTATGGTTTTGAAACCATGCCAGTTGTAAATCGTTGAAAGAAAACGATATGACTTTGTAAAGGTTTTTTAACCATACTAGTTGTAAATCTTTTTTAAACTATAATAGTAAAAAAAATTTCTTTACCGTAAACTTTACGATCAATTAGAGGGCCAGACTGCTACCGGTTATTTTACCATAATTTTCAAATGAAAATTCTAACATTGATTTACATTGACTTGTTAGATTTCTAGCACTTATAACTTTGATTTGTTAGAAATTTATACAATATATATATAAATTTCTAATGTATACTCGTAAGAAGGGCTTGAATTTCCTTGTTGCGATTGCAACTGCAATGTTTCAAAATGATTAAATAAATGTCAGACATTTTGTAATTAAAAATATAATGGTGAAAATGATGTGATATTTAAGTATTGAGGAATTCACGACATGGTTTATTTAAGTTATATGCTAATGAATAAAATCTCTCTAATATATCTTTTTATAAAAAGTAGTTTTTTTTATAGTAGTAGTAATATTTAAAAAAGTCTCTTAATAATTAAAAAAATTTAAATATTGAGTATTGTTTATTTATTTTATGACAAAAGTTTGTTTTTTATAGAAAAATTTAACTTGTTTATTTAATAAACAAAAAATGAAAACACTTCGTGAAAATATTTTGTGTCGTTTAAAAGTCTAAAGAGTTTTTAAAAATAAGAGAAAAGTATTTTATTTCTTTTATTTTTCTCCGTAAGTAATTATAAACATTCAAATGAATATTTATTTCATTTAGCAAAATA